TTTTCATCTGAGGTTTTCATCTTGGTTAAATGATTCATTAGGGTCAGAGATCATTTGTATGCATCACAGGTAGCCCTGAGGGTATGAAGACAAGGTGTGCGAAAGAATCGCACATCCGCAACAGCGCTGAGAGGAGTAGGGGGGAGGGGGACCAGCGCATACGAAGTAGTCCTTTCTTTTCTTGTATGCTTTTGCTTTCACAACCCCTGTCACTACTCACAAGGCTTTCCCTCACGCTGTTTTCTTACACTTTCCTCGCCTAGTTTCTTGCTGTTTTTCTGCATTGCTTACTTTCTGACTCCAGCTCATTTTCAGTCCAACACCTGTTCCCTTCAGAGCCGCCACCTGAGATATTGATTGTTCTCACAAATTTCAAAAATAATGACGCAGATGAAAGCATTGGCAGCTGAGGCGAAATCCTGTGAGTCACTCCTAATTCAAACAAAGTTTAGCTGATCACAGTTGATTTGTTTTTGTGTTTCATGCTGAGCCCTGCTCAAAGACAAGACTTTTTATTTCTGTCAAAGCTGAAAATTGAGCTTAAAAAAAAAAAAAAAAAAACAGAGCCAGATATGGAAGTAAAAGGCAAGGCAGCTAATGAAAACAGTCTCTTAAAACAGAAATTTCACTTGGTTTATCTTTCACACAAAGTGACAATAATTCATTTCATCCGGAAATTATCGTTTTCCATTGTGGCTGTCAGTGTGGGCAGCTGGATTTCCTTAATTAAAAAATGGGTGATGACACCATGAATGTGGAAACGCTGCACACATTTTTATTTCACAGTTTATAAAAAATGTAATATTTCACATCTTGGAATGTATCATTGCTACGATGGTGACAGAACAGGAGAGCGTGTGAAGACAAGTTGATTTAAAAGTGGTGATGCATGATATTTTTATGACAGCGACACAGAGCTGTAGTCTCCAACCTCTCATGGGCGTCATGCACAAACCTCTTTGAATGACACTCACACCTTTCATTCCTCTATCTGTTCTCTTGTCTCTGCCATGTGCATCACACGGCACTAACTGGGTGTATAATGCTGTGTATTTTATACGACAGAAGTAGGGAGGGAACAAACACATCTTGCATTCATTCAGTAAACCAGCTCATTTAAAACAAGAGAGTATTGAGTACAGTCCAATTAGAGTTAATTGTAAGTGTGAACATCAGAAAAAAACAGAGTCAATGAAGGACGAAGAACAGAAATGAGAAAACTGTAATTTCTAACAACCCAAAAATTCACAAATAAGAAGATCTAGAGACAGTATTATGATGGGATACCTCCAGCTGCAATTCAGCAATCTGTAACTTAAAGTTAATGTTGCCAGGGCTGTAAAGTGGAGGGCCAGTGACCTCTTCTATGCCTCCTGTCCCCCCTTTTTTGGTGCCCTTGCTCAGACCATACCCACCTTGGTAACTGGCCTTCATTTTAGCCCTGTTTCCTCATAGCAGTACAGTACAGTTCTGTTCATTTCGCTTGTTTTCTGTTTCCACTGTGAAAAGTTGTGGATGGTACCAGTGGAACCATTCCGTACCATCCCCATGTTTGGTCCCCCCTCTGTTGGGGTACCTAGCACACAGATCTGGTACTAAAAGGTGGAGCTGTGAACACTGCTGTCTGTTGATTGGTCAATAGCGGACGGTCACTCTGCTCAGGGCTGAGTTGTGGCTGGTTTTGAAGCTCATATAATCACTGTTCATACCGTAGAGAGATTAACTAATAAACTGTAACTATAAAATGAAAAGATGTTTTGCTGCCTCTTGCAGCAGCTGGAGTCTGAGCAAAAAATAACTTCATTCACTGGGCTGACTGCCAGCACCTTTTAAGATGGAACGTTAACTTGTAATGTTACTCAATTCATGAGGTGAAGTCGTTCTGTGGACGATAAACGAGGTGCAGACTTCCATGTGTCTCACTGCTAATAAGGAAATACAGTGAGATCTGGACGGAGCAGTGAGTGACAACAGCCCCGTCTGCAGTGAAAAGGCTAGGGTCTAGGTACCATGTCTGAAGGGTTACTTTTGGTTCCAAAAAGCGTTTGGTGGAAACAGGGCTTTCGATCTCAACTACACATCCGTAAAGTTCTGTGACTCATACTCAGGCCGCTGTCTGTGCTCTTAAACCTGGAGTGGCAGGTTGACCAGTGGTGTAGTGGAGGGTATACTCAGGTATACAGGGTATACCCGCTTCTTTTTCTATCCAGTTACAGTATACCCACCTATCAGCTAAAAAGCCATTGTAATACATAGTTGCCCAGTATGCCCACTTCCTCATTGGTAACCTACCTATCTACCTAGTAGTACACCCACCTCATCAATTACCACTATACCACTGAGGTTGACGTATCAAAAACTAAAGAGATCTAAGTTATAAACTCTGCACAGTCAACAATAAACATCGCGATTTCCATCCAACTGAAGGAAATAAAAAGCTTTCTTGTCTCTGCAGAGTTTGTGGAAGACCTGAATAACCTTCACTTAACTACCTTGAAACTGAACTATGTGAATCTATTAAACTGATCCAACAAAGCAAACACACTCAGGTATTAAAAGCACACAGGCTGAAGTAACTTGGATCTTGCTGAAAAATATTTTCAACAGTTGCAACTCTATTGCGATAACAAATTCTGTCCACAGACAGAAAGACAGATTTACAGACACCTGGCAAAATACTCAAAACGGCATCTGTTGTAGTTGTTCCTATGCAATAGGTGTCTCCAGGAGCACATTTTGCTATGATCACACACACAAAAACACACACACACAGACTCTGAAAGTGAAAATAATACCAGCTGTAGTTGCAATTATTGATTGAATAGAATCTTACTTGCTAATTGTGCCTCACTATCATGAGTATTGTCATGTTGTCTTCACTAAGTCATGATTTATTAAAGATTCAGCTTTATATGGAGAAGGTCAAGTAGTGTTAAGGTCCTGATATCATGCAAGACAGAGGCAGTTTTCTTATTTGCAGTGGAAACCTGCATACTTTTTTTTTATAAATGTGAAGTAAATGCTTTGCCTCTGCTGATAGATGATACCCAACACAATGCTCACAATACAGCAAAACCAGAACCCCTTAGGTGATACAGTCCATAGCAGTCATGGTGGATCTTTTTCATTTGGCTGTAACCTTTAAGGCCCAGACAACAGGTCAGCAGGATGAGCCGGGCACAGCAGATACACGGACAGCACAGACTGTCTCTGTCTGTGCATGTATATTTCCCTGTGTGGATTTTTAGCATTTGAGGATGTGTTTTAACAAGTCATGTATTTTTTTGTCTCACAAACTTTGCTTCTTTAGTGACTCAGAATGGAGTTACACCGTTGACTATTGACGTAAGCAGAATTAGGTTCCAAGGGCAAACAGAGGGAGCCAGAGGTTTCTTTTTGTTTAATGATCTATGTATAGAAACCAAACACAGGCAATACAGTGCGTCATAATAAAACACCAGAGAGAAACATGCCTGATAGAAAATCCATGTAAAAAGTAACATAGGGTGATAAACTGGGTATACTGGGAACTAATCTAAATACAGTGTCAGTAACACTATTCAGGTGCAGTGTTAACTGTTCTGAAATGGAGATCCTTTCCTTTAGATGGAAAAGGAATTATACATTTGACTCTAGGCTTTTTTTTTTGTTAGAGCCATTCCACAATTGCAGAAACTCTAATGATCTTGTTATTAAGACACAGGTAAGGTAAATTTTAATGTCCCAGAGGGGCAATTTCAGATACAGACAGTAGTCATGAGTACAGTTTAACAGACAATACAGTACAAACACACAGAATCCTGTATCACACACTGTCAGGGGTAAGTCATGGACAATTAGAGGTCACTGCTGGTAAAGATAAGCGATAGCGAATGGGACATAGGACAATCTGCAACGCTTAGTGCTGCATGTAGGGTGGCAAAACCTCCGCCCTGATGGAAGCATCTGAAACTCATCATGGAGGGGATGTTGAGAGTCTGAGACAACAGACTGAGCTATTAGAGGTGACCCTCTCTTCATATAGATGCTGTAGATTTTATAAAGTAAAACCAGTGATCTTACAGCACATCTAGAACAATATCATAATTGTCCTACCTACATCAAAACTCGTCAGCGTCCTTAAAAAGAGCAGGTGTTGGTTTGCCTTCTTACAGATGTCGTCAGTGTTCACACTAAAATGCTACTTCTCATCTACAGTGCCCAAATACTTGTACTGCTGCAAGGCTGCCACGGGCTCCCCCTTGATCAAACAAGGAGCAGCAAGGCAGGGCTTCCTCTGAAAATCATATCAATAAACATCTCATCGGTCTTAGACACATTAATGTGGAGGACAGACTGGTCACACCAGTTAACAAATTCATCCAGTACTGGGCCATTATCATATTCTGATCCATGAAGAAAGCTTACAATAGCAGAGTCATCAGCATACTTATGGATAAATCTTGATGTGTTATTACCCTGACATTTGTTTATATATATTGTATAAATATAATAAAAGAGAAGAAAGAACACATCACTGAGGGGACCCAGTAGAGGAAAAATGGGTCCTGGACACTGTCCTGTCAACGCAGACCCTCTGAGACCTGTTCAATAAGAAGTTAATGAGCAAACACAACACTAAAGTGTGTAAATTGAAATTAATTAAATTAACAAAACATTTGAAGCGAGGAGTTGGGACTGTCCTAGTGAAGACTATAAGAGGATTACTCACTTTTTCAGCAGTGTATGCCTATCTGTTATTCCAAATAGACATTTAATGATGACTAATGTTATGCTTTTAAGTAAGGTTTCAAAATATTAATATTTACTTGTGGACTGAGAATAATTAAATATCAAAATTACGAGTACTAGCACGTCTCCTGATGTTTGTAGTAAGGATTCCGAACTACATGAATGAGGAGAAGTGGGGGCGGGGACAGGAAGAGCGAACAACCAATCACAGAGCGCTACGGGATTTTCAAGCTGCTGAAAGTTGTGACGTCGATTCTGTGCGACCTGCCGGAGAGACGACAGCATCCTCTGAATGTAGCTGCTGTATGAGTTAAATAGTGAGACAACATTTGAATTGTATGTGTTCATCAATAAATGGACTGCCAGTAGCTACGTAGGTGTAGCCTCGTTTATTTAACTTCACTTCCTGGTCCATAAAGTCGCCCAAACATTAGTGAGAAGCTAGAACGTTAGCATCCGGTGCTACCACCACTTGTTTCTGACTGCGGTATGAGTTATGGATATGGCGGTGGAGGTGGGAGAAGAGGCAGGAGAGGAGGTCGGGGGCACAGGGATGGGAGCAGGGAGAGATGGGACAGAGGAGGAGGGTCGAGAGGACACAGCTCCGACTTCGACCAGGACCGAGGAGGAGGAGGTGGACAACGGGACCGTCCTCCTCCTCACCTGAAGGGACGTGAGATTGGTCTGTGGTACGCGAGATATGGAGCCGTGAGGAAGAAGCAGGCTGACCGGAGATCGGTAAGGATTGTGTTTGGTTGTATGCTGTTGCACCATGTGTTGAGCTGGGCAGGGTGTCAGACTATTAGAAACAGAGATGAGGACCTTCAGCACAGATATGAGACAGTAAAGTTAGGCTACATAGAAGGTGACAGATCCTTCATCACTGAGGTATTAACCTCTGCTAAAAGTATGTCTGACCTCTGAACTCAGCTGTAACCTGCAAACTGTGGGGCATATGCCAATACAAAGTGTATTGCATGTGCAGGATTGGCTCTGTTTCATCTAACTGTTTTGTTGTTATGATGTCATCAGAGCTTAAGTGGTCCATCCCAACAATAACACACCGTGGGAAAACTGGGAAAGTGTATTACATTTAGTGGGTTTTGAATGACCATCGAAAGCAGGGGTGTCAAACATACAGCCCGGGGCCAGAACCAGCCCGCCAAAGGGTCCAATCTGGCCCTCTAGATGACTTTGCACACCTACTGTTGATGCACATATGAAGGCTAAGAGGTTTCAGGATCAAGTTAAACAGTGAGCAGATACTTCATGTAGAATACACCCTCAGAGGCTTTTCCACTCTGACCTGAATACAGTTCTCTGAAATAACAATAAATACCCTGCTGATATGGCACTGACAACACTTCAGATTGTAAGGCAGGGGATGACTTAACATGCTTCTTCAATAGCACCCTCTTTAGTTGGAAATAATGAAAAAAAATCACATTATGAAAATGAGTAGCAGACTGACTGAGTGTGGAAAAACTAAGACATACTGTTGAATTTGCACATAGTTTTTCTGTCCTCTTTGTTTGGTAAATGGATGAACGTTTTTGAGAATGAAAGAAAAATTTGAAGAGGTTGATATTTATAGTTTATAATGCAGTGGTTTTACTGGTCCGACCCACTTGAGATCAAATAGGGCTGGGTCAGTGACAAATAAGGGTTGGCAAGATGAGCAATTCAGAAATATCTTCAAAAATAGTTTTCAAAGCATGCCTCAGATTTGTTAAAATGTACATTCTGTATTTTTGTTGGTTTTATGTCATTTGAAATGACATTTGCACCATTTTTTATGAAAAGTAACGCTGAATGCTCCTGAAAATGTCAAATGATGTAACCACGAAATATTTTATCCAGCTACAGTAGATTTAAGTGACTTATAAAAAAAAACTTTATTTCAAAAGCATTAAATTGAAATGAGATATTTTTGGAGTATTTCTATATTTAAATTTTAATGCATTTTGGCAATACTGAGCAGGGCATTTCCTAAAAACACCCCTTTTTTTCTAAATAACGCGTGACAAATTATGTAAAATTTGTTAAAAAAACACAGGGCTGAATTCACAAAAGGATTGCGTGGCTTTTGTGGCCGCTAAACTGGTAAAAATGGAGCAAACAGATACCGTCTAATTCACAAAGCATGTGCAGAGGCTGAAATGCTCCACTAACTGCGCTGCCAAGCAGATTGCGTCTCGGTGCTCCGGTGTTATTTGCACGTATTTAAATGACGTAATATTGATATATTTGGCGCAAAAATGGCCCCTTTCTATGCAAATGAGCCTCAGCGTGTTTGCGCTGGTATATCATTAGCGCAATATCCTTTGTGAATAGGACGTTAAGACGGAGCAAACTGCGGGTGCAAGTGAAGTGCAATTCAAGGTGCTATCAGCAGCCGCAGTTCATTCTTTGTGAATTCGGCCCACAGTGTTGCACTGCAAAAGTGGATTACATTTATTCCACATTTTACTCCACATTTATTTTCCTGTATATAATCATATTTTTATGAAAAGTACCAGTTACACCAAATGACACTGGGTTGTGTCAATTGGTGTAACTGGTATTTTTCATAAAAATATGATACACTGCCTGACCATGTTCCTTCTACAGTCAAACACCACTGCTTGGTGAAGGAATTGACACTGAAAATCAAATATGACAGTCAACAAGGTTGAGTGAACTTGTTTTTCTCATGTTATTTCAGTTCAGAAAAAAGAACATCTGACAACAGTGAGCTAATTTCTTCTACTGTAAATTCTTTGCTGAAAAAAAAAACATTTTACAATCATGTTTCATTTTAAAATTTAACTCATGTTTTGTATCTTAAGTTCTGATAAGAAAAAAGTCACCTGACAACAACTCATATGGGTGAACTGGTCTACTATTGTGAATACGGTTGATAAAAATTTAATGAGAGAGGAAGTTCAGAAAAAGGAACAGCTGACAACAATTAACTAATTTCTTTTACTGTAAATTCTTTGCTAACAACAATCATTTAATTTTAAAATTTAATTCATGTTTCATGTTTTGTGTTTTAAATTCTGATAAGGGAAAAAGTCACCTGACAACAACAACTTGTAAGGACGTAATTGGCCCTTGCTGTAGCATTAGCATTCATTAGCATTAGCACTCTATGACAAGCCACTTTTTCCTCGTTTTTTTTTTGTTGTTTTTTTTTATTTGCACACAAGAAAAAGAGTATAGGATGTCAATAAGAAGAAACAGAATACATACAGTATTGACACATATAAAAAACGATGACTTAAAAGAGAAAAAAAAGTGTGCAGGAGGAGCCAAAAGAAAACCTTTAGGGCTTGGCCCTCCTAGAAACTGGCATCTAATGGGGAAAATTGATTTTATTTATTTAGTTTGATTAATTTAGTTTTCTATAAATGTATCATACATTAGTAATGAAATAGCAGAAATGTAAATAATTGTATTTTACAGACAGAAATTTTAATGTTTGAGTAACATTTCTACTTTAAATGAATTATTGGATTTTTAGGTATTTTAAAGCTACTGTACAAGTTCAAAAGTTTTTTTTATAATACATCTTTAATTAGCATTATAAACTACTGATATCTAACAAATTACTATCATAAACTGTTGATATTTGACATAATTGCCTATAACAGAAAGGCTCTTAATAGGAGTCAAATTGGCTTAACCGGTTACACCATTTGACATTTCATTTTAAAATCAAATTTGACAGGCATTGCCATGGACACCTGTGTAAGCACATGGCCTTGGTCTCAAGATTTCAAACATAATTTTTAAAGTAAATATTCATTTTAATGATTTTTATGAATTATTAATGTTTTTCTAGGGTCATACCATTTGACATGTAAACTTACCAAACCTGACCAGAGTCTAAAAACATCAATTTAATAGTAATTTTAAGAGATTCTAACCTTGTCATGCAGCAGTTGTGATCATCAGAGGTCCTTCTCTGTAATACCATTTCCTGTCACATGGCCTTCTTTACAATATTACAATATAGCCTCTTAAATGGTGGTCACACCACTTGACACTTCATGTAGTTTACTTGACTTTCATGATTCCCCAAATTAAATTTCATATTTAGAACAATTGCATTCCATTACCTTTACTGAATATAAAAAAAGTAATAATTTAAAGATCATGCCTAACTAGTTGATATGGTGTTTTATTGAGAATTTTTATTGTGTGTTTTTAAGCAAGTTTAATTATTTGGTGCAAGTTTTTATGGTTACACCGCTTAGACTTTTTTGCCATTGTCCTCTAATATATTCTCTCAAAATGTATTAAAAGCAGAAATTTTATACTGGATCCACACAAAATTAAAGTTTGTAAGTTAATCCTACATTTGTTTTCAAATTTTAACCCTTTTAAATTTGACTAAACCATATGAACACAAAAAAAGTAGCATCACGTCACTGACCCGGCTATATGTGGTCCATGAACTAAAATGAGTTTGACACCCCTGATCTTAAGTCTGAGGTGAGAATTATTTTCAACCCTTAAAGCAAATAAAGTTAAAATATATAGCACTGAAGTTAAAATAGACATTATATGGAGCTAAAGGAGCAAGCAATCCTTCAGCTGACACTAAAATTAATATGTAATAATGCTTGTCACAGTTACATAGATGTCACAGTTTCAGAGGGATTCAGTGGGATTTTTCATTGTGATAAAATGAAATTTGCTGGTAGTGGTGCAGTGCTTATCATTGTCACCTCACAGCAAAAGGGTTTCAGGGTTCAAACTAGCCCTTCTAACTGAAGCCCATAGCTGTGAATGTGAGTGTGAATGGTCGTCTGTCTCTATGTGTCAGCCCTGTGATAGTCTGGCAACCTGTCCAGGGTGTACCCTGCCTCTCGCCCAATGTCAGCTGGGATAGGCTCCAGCCCCCCTGCCTGGTGATCCTTAACAGGATAAGCGGTTACGGATAATGAATGAATGAATAGAACACTAATAACATCTCTTTAAGCCCCGGTGTCACCTTTGGTTTGGCTAACTAAGGTTAGGGCTGAACTTTTCTCTCTCCATGTTTGTGCAGCGGGCAGTGGTCCAGATGGATGAGGCCAGGGAGCAGCACATTACCAAGCTGCTTAACTCTGTCCAAAATGAGCCTGGTCCAAGGAGGGACAGCAGGGATGCGAGACCCTCCACGTCTGACAGCTGGCGGGCGGCTGCCAATAGCAGTGGTCATTGGTAAGAACAGCCTGCATAGCTTTTCTGCTTTCGACTTGCACTGCGTAATTTTGAGCTTACAGTAAAGAAAATGGGCAACCTAGATAGGATCAATGTGCCTGGAGTGTCAATTATTCTTTCAGCTGCGGCTGCTGACACAAGTTCGACTCTAATTTGTGCATACAGTTACTTTGATGGGGATTTGCCTGAAGAGGAAAAGCTGAAGGTTGAGCTCAAATCTGAGGAAGAGGAGGAAGAAGTCACTCCAGGCCAGAAGAAAGCAACTCACAAATCACAACGGTAACTTTGAAAGCAAATCTGATGCTCCAAAAATATAGTTTAATATTTGATTGTGCTCCATTGCCACAATAACAGAACAACCAGTATTGTCTGGTGATTCACGATATTGATAATATTAACACACTTTTTTGTGTTTTTGTTTAGTTACTTCTCTCAGGCAGCTGTTAAGGATGAGCCTCCAGACACGTGGGATGAAGAAGAAGAGCAGGAAAAGGAAGAGAAAGAGAAACTGAGAAGGAAGGACAAGGACGTGGAGTTCTTATTTCAGGAAGTAGTCAGAGACAGTTCACTGGATGAGCGTTTAAAGAGAGATTTGGAGAGCAAGAAATCAGATCCAAAGTACAGAGAAATGCTGGTGAGTACAATGATCAGTATCAAGTTTTCTATATACAGCAGAAATCTTCTAACATACCTTTTATTGTTTAAGGCTTTGTAGGGCATTTCTCTGATCATTCACACCAGAGAATTTTGTTGGTTTGATGTACAACCTAACTTATATTTTTTCTTTAGATAAGACCCATGTCATCCTATTCAAAAAGTCGCAGGGTGATCTCTTTAAGGGAGACTGGGTTCATAAAGCAATGAAGTATAGAGTATAGATAACAGTACAACAAAATGATATCTGGAGATGTTGCAGGGCAGAGAATATGTGTCTTAATAATTAATAACACATGGCAGTTGGTTTGCAAATATTTGTTGCTGTGCAGGCTGCTCTGAGATTTACAGGTGAACAGGTGTTTATGTTTATAGACCTAAATAGTTTAATACATGAGCCTAATACAGAGTAAGGCTGGACAATATGGTGAATTAATATCTAGCAAATACAAAAATATCTTCATAATATTCCCTGTAAATGCAAAATAATGTGAAATGTTTCATCATATTCCACAGAGTGAGTGTTGACACTTTATAACATGTTGTAAAGATGGAACGTCTGCTCTTCACTTCATTGATTTATTCAGTGTTTACAAATATTTTTTTTTTTTTTTTGTCTTCAGAAATTCAGGGAAAAGCTACCGTCTTATGGGAAAAAAGAGGTGGGTTTTTGATTTGACTGAAATTCATAAGCACATACTCTCCTCCTCATCATTAATCAAACCATTTCTGCTGAAGTTGAATTGCTGATTTTTGAATTTGCAGTCTTGTTAGCGGTATCCTCTATTATCACTCTGTTTGTACTCCTCGTCTCATAATCCTTCCTCTCACCTGCTCCCATCTTTCTCAGGAGCTGGTGGAGCTGATCAACTCGAACCGTGTCCTGGTGGTGAGTGGGGAAACAGGGTGTGGAAAGACCACTCAGGTCACCCAGTTCATCCTAGATGACTACATCAATAGAGGCATGGGCTCCATGTGTCGTGTGGTGTGCACGCAGCCTCGTCGCATCAGTGCCATCTCGGTATGTACTCTCCTGGTTTTTGGAGTGCAATTGTGTTGGAAAATATGTGACAGTGTGCCAACTGATGATAGATGTGGTTGCTTATGTGTGTGTTGTGATGTTTATGATGTGTATATGTGATTTTCTGCATCTGTCTTGTAAGTTACATAGCTGTTTTTTTCACAGCGCTGATTGTGTTCTGAGGTGTTTTTGTGTGTGTGTACTTCTTTTCAGGTAGCGGAGCGTGTAGCAGCAGAGAGGGCAGAAAGTGTTGGGAATGGAAATTCTTGTGGTTACCAAATCCGCCTGCAGAGGTAAGGAAGTCTCTTCACACATATGTTGCATAAAATGAAGTACTCTGATAGTGAAAAGTCACTGTTGTTTGGGTTGCTGAGTCTCAGGCACTGCTCATGATACAATGGCTAATCAGCATGTGATCACAGATGATAGAGATGTGAGAATATATCTTTACACTTGAGTATCGCGATTTTATGGTTTGTAATACTGCATCAGAAACACTGCACTGACTTTTAATTAATAATTTACATGCAAAAATTGGTGGCAGTGGTTTATTTTGTGTTCTGTTTGAACCCTGACTGCTAAATCCTTAAGTGTTGTAATCTATCTTCAGGCATTTGACTCTTACACTCCAGTGTGATACCCTTTTTTTCCGTTTCCACTGCAAAAAGTTGTGGATGGTACCAATGGAAACATTCGTTCCCATGTTTGGTCCCCCCTCTGTTGGGGTACCTAGCACACAGATCTGGTACTAAAAGGTGGAGCTGTGAACATTGCAGTCTGTTGATTGGTCAATAGCAGACGGTCACTCTGCTCAGGGCTGAGTTGTGGCTGGTTTTGAGGCTCATGTAACCACTGTTCATACTCTGGAGAGTTTTATTAGTAAACTGTAACTATAAAATGGAAGCAGCTGTGGTCTGGAAAAAAACAAAAAAACTTCACTGGGCCGACTGCCAGCGACTTTTAAGGTGGAACGTTTGGCACCATAAATTTAACTTTAACAACTCTGACCGTTTTATATGACATGCACTTTCAGTAATGAGTGGATTTTCAAGTGTTTATATATATATATTAATTTCGACCTGGTTATGTGAACAGCATATATCCTTATCCTCAAAAAAAAAAAGCGTGTCCGAGTGTCGTTCCTGTGGGCTATGGCAACACTAAACCCTCGAGCTTCAGAAGGACTGAATGTACAAACCCACTAATTTTAAATATCCCATGGAGAGAGACTCTCACTGCAGCCTGTTTTATTTTGTTCTGAAAATGTCAGCGTGCAGCCTCATTCTGTGGACAAGACGCAGACTGTGTCAATCTGTGTCACTTGTAATTAGGTAATACAGTGAGAGCTGGACGGAGCAGTGAGTGACAACAACCCTGTCCACATTTACTGTAAGAGTACTGTTTGCGGTGGAAATGATAGGATCTAGGTACCATGTCTGAAGGATTACTTTTGGTTCCAAAGGTACCGCAAGTGTTTGGTAGAATACGAGGCTCTAGAAATAGAGGCCTATTTAACAGGCAGAATCATAGAGCTCCTCAAATAAGATTTTAAAAAATCTCAATATATTGGAATGTATTGAATTGTAACCCCTATATAGACCAAATCACCTTGATGTCATGCTAACAACTATCACTTCTCGGTCAGCAACTGGCGATTGTAAAATTGGTTGTTAATTTCTGTTGTCATATTTAACTGTGACTGTAACATTTAAAGATGTATAGTTAAACACTGTGGTCTGATCCCTCTGACATTTCTGCTGTGTTTTTTTATGCTTATTTTCTGTACTTTGATGCTTTGCTATCATCTTTGATAAATCAAATCTACCGGCATGGAAGCTAAACAACATACTGCTATGGAGGGGGGCTGCGGCAAAATGTATTTGGCAACTTAAAAAAAAAAAATCAATATCAGTGTAAGCGCACGCTATAATTGAATGTTTGCTCCGCTTTACCTTACATGGTAACAATTAGAGGCCATGGTAGACCAGTAACTCCAGTGTTTTTTTTTTTTTCGTTTTTTTTTCTACTAAGCAAAATGGCTGTATTTTACCTTTTGAAAAGGCTGTTTGATGGCCAGATAAAGTGGCAAAAATGTTCTAATAGTTTCATTTCTCGGATATTGATTTCTTTTTGTGGGCCTTTTTCTAGGTGGCTAAAAACTAACCAGTTAAGGTTAGCAATGTTTTATTTTATGTACGTGACATGAGGGTTTTCTACCCAGTAGTTATTGTGAATAAAAATTGTGATTTGGTCTTTTGTGATACATAATACACAGCCCCCAACAGATGAATACAAACGCTAAAGGGACCTCATATTCCATTGAAACTATGAATTCTCATTGAGGATTCACTGATGATTGATCCATCCCTGTACTGAAACTGTGCAAGACTTTTCAAAGGAAGGTTTTGGTGGATGTAATAAAATTAAGATGGAGAAGTTAACTAGGTGGGATAAATTAATTCCACAGGGAACTAGTTTTTTTTGTAGGATAGGAGATGTAGTAGATGGGAACGTTCATCTGAGACCATGCACATTGAAAGAAGTGGACGAATCTGGGGAGAGATGCACTTGAGCGGTGTGCAGACCGAGGGAGCAGACAGTTACAGGAGATAAGAGAGTGCAGCAATCTAAAGTGAACTATATGCAATAGAGTATGGAGTATGAGAGAGGATGAAATGGATGCAGTAAGAGGAGAGGAAAAGAGGCAACTCAGGGAGACTGAGACAGGGGATGAAAAGTTAAAAAAAATGCACACATTTTTTCTATGTCGTGCTGTATTTTTTCTTTAATGGTATCAAGTTACTGTGATTTGTAGCTCTCCTGAAGGGAGAAAGCAGTTACTAAAGCATGGTTTTCTATCAAAGAACTTTAATAAAGTATAGACAGTTTAGGAAGGCATCTCTGTAAGCTCGTTGCTTTGCTGTCACTGCTTAGTGTCACTGTCACTGATGGAGACCATGGGTGTCTCAGTGGGTTTATGCAAAAGCTGGTAATTTGTGTCTCAAGCTTTGTTAAACTTTTATTGATGTGCCAGCTCCCCCACATAACAGCTAATTTAAAAAAAGTAAACACTTCGTATGTTGGTCTCTCGGTGGGTAATCAGCTTCTTTAAAAGCTGAATACAAATTCGCCAGCAGACATTGAACCTAGTCTTTGGCAACTGCAGTTACATTTGCAGGGAGCCAGTCAGAACTGCACAACTCAGTCAGTGCAGGCAGTTACTGAATTAAATGTGCTCTGACTGGTGCTGGTGAAGTGCAACAAAGAATGGGCAGTTATAATAAACACAAAGCAACTGTGTTTAGAGTGATTAACATTGATTCGATTCATAATAATTAAAAAATAAATTTAAAAAATGAGACAAACTTTAAAACTTCTTTGGTTGAATTTCACAATGTATCTAGTTGTACTGATCACTGAAGTACTGTGCTGAATTAACACCTACCTAGATGTCTTTATTTCTTATGAGCTGCACAGGCCAAGATTTTCAGCCACTATCCATACATTGCTCAAAAGAAATTAAAGGGACACTTAAATCACACATCAGATCTTGATGAACAAATTATTTAAGTTGAAAATCTTTACTGATGTACATTGTGTAATTTATTGAGAACTAATTGACATTACAACTGTTAGTGGAAACCAAATTCCAAATCAATGGCGGATGGTGTCATGGAGGATCTCCTCCTGGACAGTCGGTGGTGGTACTTAGCGGCATTGGCTGCACCGATACATAACGTCCCATAGGTGCTCAGTTGGATGCAGGTCAGGGGTAACAGAGAGCCAGTTAATGGTATCAATGCCTGCATCATCCAGGAACTTCCTACACACTCAGGCCACAAGGCCGACCATTGTCCTGCACCAGGAGGAATTAGGGCCCACAACGCCTCTATTGACGTATAACAGCACAAATTCAGACAGAGCAACTCTGTTCACCAAAATAATCCGGGATACATGCCTGTGGTCCTACGGAGGAGAGCAGCAGACCAGCTCGGCTCTGGGTTTTAAAGCCGTCCAAGCTGAACGCCTCTGGCTCTGCTGAGGACAGCAGCCGACCAGCTCAGCTCCGGGCCTCAGAGCCGTCCAAGGTGGAAGCCTCTGGTGTCACGGAGATGAGTGGCTGTATGGTGTAACTCTGTGCACCAAAACAATCTGGGACAAATGCCTCTGGTCCTGTGGAGGAGAGGGGCATTCTAGATCAGTTCTGGGTTTTTAAGCCGTCCAAGCTGGACGCCCTTTTGCCCGACTGAGGATAGCGACCGACTAGCTCAGCTCCGGGCTTCAGAGCCGTCCAAGCTGGACGCCTCTGGTGTCACGGAGAAGAGTGGCCGTATGGTGCAACTCTGTGCACCATAATCATACAGGATAGATGCCTCTGGTCCTGTGGAAGAGAGCGGCAGACCAGCTTGGCTCCGGGTTTTTAAGCCGTCCAAGCTGCATGCCTCTGACCCCACTGAAGACAGTGGCCGACCGGCTCAGCTCTGGGCTGCAGAGCCGTCCAAAATGGACTCCTCTGGTGTCACAGAGATGAGTGGCCATATAGTGTAACTCTGTGCACCAAAACAATCTGGGACAAATGCCTCTGGTCCTGTGGAGGAGAGGGGCCGACCAGCTCAGTTCTGGGTTTTTAAGCCGTCCAAGCTGGACGCCTCTTGCCTGACTGAGGATAGTGACTGACTGGCTCAGCTCCGGGCTTCAGAGCTGTCCAAGCTGGACGTATGGTGCAACTCTGTGCACCATAATCATACAAGATAGATGGCTCTGGTCCTGTGGAGGAGAGCGGCAGACCAGCTTGGCTCCGGGTTTTTAAGCCGTCCAAGCTGCACGCCTCTGACCCCACTGAAGACAGCGGCCGACCTCAGCTGCGCGTCGGGGTTCTATTCCCCTGTCGGAAGTTATTTTCCCAGTATTCACTGGCTCATTATACATTATCCCTTACTTATTACACGGCTCTATTAAATGCTGTATTCTGATTGGTCAGTCGCGGCATTCAGCGGTCTGATATTACTGTGTAATGACCGTTGCTAGTAGCAACGGTCATTACACAGTTGCTATGTAGCCCAGCGTTGCTAGGGACGCTGTCCTACAACAATGCAGCTGTCAAACAACTTCAAAGGGAAAAAACAAACAGAAGTGGCTGATTTTAACATTTCTTTTAACTTATTTGGAGAGTAGCTACAAGGATTTTGAGGAATGGGATGCCGCTGAAGAATAAGAATACTGACTTTCTCTGCCAAACACAAAAGAGCACGGATTTGAATACACACTCGCAGTCATGCTTAATGACATTTTACGCGAGTTTTATGCCTCCGTTCAGTCCACTAAGCCTGGGTGAGTACAAAACTTTCACCAAAAGTTGTCGAGTCCGGTCGGTTTTAATGCACTTTGCGGAGGCAGACAACATTATTTATTTAACTGATAATTAGCCGTGTAATAAGCGGGATAATGTATAATGAGCCGGTGAATACTGGGAAAACAACTCCCTTCAGGGGAATAAAACCTCTATTCCCCTTACATAATTGACCCTGTTACATTAACACGCTGCTGAAAAAAATGAAGGGAATACTTAAATCACACATCAGATTTTGATTTTTCAAGTTGAAAGTCTGTACTGATGTACACTGTGTACTTTGTTGAGAAGAAAATGACATAACAGTCAATGGAAACCAAAGTTATCAACCCAGTGAGGGCTGGATTCAAAATCACACCGAAAGTCAAGGTGAAAAATTGAAGTCACAGGCTGATATAACTTGCTTTAATTTTTTCATGGCACCTTCTGATGTTACCCAGTAGTGTTTATTTCCATCACCAGAACAAGACTTCTCCTTGAGCAAGGCTTTATCACAATAACAAACAGACCAATGAAAGATAACGATACACATTTCATTTCTCTGTAGGGTCCTTTCCGAAACTTCAGACAACAAACAGAGCCTGTCAGTGGCAAAAATAAGCTCTTTAATGGACGTTAATTGACAGTGCACAATTGCCAGTAGGGATTACATTGCAGCCTGTTTTGCCGCTGCAGTGTCTCTCAGTACTAGAAATATTTCAAAACTTGTTGTCTCCATCACTTACTTAACATGGGAAAATTGGGTCCAGGTTGCAAAATCCCAAAGCTTCCTGACCTGAAGCCTGTGTCTGAAAAAAGGGTCCCTGTGATAAAACATAGTTGCAAGTTTGTGCTTACATGCGGCATATTACTAAATTAACTTGTGATTAATAGAATAACCACACAGCAAACCTGCCACCAGGTAGTATTGCAGTGTTGAAAAACTGTATAAACTCCACAGAGCGTGTGAGGAATGAGCGTTTAATGGAGGTCCAGCAGCTCCTATTCACCCTGAGGCCCCTCAGCAGTTTTAACCCTGCCATCGCACCTGGCCCATGGCAAACTTCTCCTCAGCTGTTATATATTCTCTATATGCTGTTCTGTTATTGCTATTGCCAGCGAGGTTTAATTAGGCCGACTGTTTATTTTCTATGGTTTAAATTGTGTGTCGATGTTGTGAAATATTTTGCAACCCTCTTTCAAAAAGTGCTTCAAATGATTTTAATTTTTATTTTATTAGTGTTGTGTATCTTGAAATGAGGCCAAGTTCTTTTGGAAATCTGAAACTTGCATCAGCCTCTAATGTGGTTCAGTTGTCAGTGAAATGTGTTTTTCAGATGTGTCAGATGAGAGGCAGTTTCTGCTTGGTTTTGGATTAAAATAAATGAGACGCTGTTTCATGATTTCTGTTTAACGGAGAAAGTTTTCTTCACTAATGCTTGTGCAAAGTGCAGTGTGTCTGGAAACCTAAAATGGAAAAGGAGGCAGGAATGACAATAGGGTCTTTTACAGTCTCATATGGAAATGTATGAACATTAACACAGAGACCTGAGACTCACTCATATAACCTTTGTCTGCACTTGATACTCGTCTTAATTTGTGTCATTTGGGAAATGTAAAGTCTTTTTTTTTCTCCTCTTAATTCTCAGCCGGTTACCACGGAGACAAGGTTCGGTCCTGTACTGTACAACAGGCATTATTCTTCAGTGGCTTCGCTCAGACCCGTAAGTCCTCTCCCACCCCCACCACCCACACCCCCTGCCCTGTTTCTTCATCCTCATCGCATCCTCCCTTAGCATTTTTCTTCTTCTCTGTTTTTTCACTTTGTCTCTGTTCCAGCTGTTCTTCCTCTACTTTCTTATTCCATCTGTGTCACTCTCTTTCATCCCCACTGATTTGTGGTTAACTCTACTGTCTGTGGAAGGAGCATTAGTATGGGTCCCCATTCTCATAGGCCGAGAAATGAAGACACACACACACACACACACACACACACACACACACACACACAGCTTCTGTTGACTCATCCCTGCATCTTGCATTCTGAGAGTCTTCAGAAAAAAAAAACACAGGGACTAAGTGAGGGTGCCAGCATTTCTTGTTGTCTTGCTTCATGGTGTCTCAGATTTGGCACGACTCAAGTGAGTCATTTTAAGACTACAGTCGTCTGACAAAATGCTGCAACTTTTTGGCATTATGTATATTTATGCAGCAGCTGGTTTACAAGCTGACGGTGTGTATGGACTGCAGCTATGTTTACACTTATCAGTTTTGGTGTGACTGTTTGTCTCCAGACATCACATTAATGATGCATTAACATTTCCAGTCCCACAGACTCCTTTGACTCATCGTTACAGACTGGTGCTGTACAGATGAGCACAGAGCTCAGTTATCCAATATGCCAGACTGGTGCTACAGACAAATGTGTATATTAAATGTATAATTTGTAAACAAAGTTGTGTGAACATTTCTTTTTATTGGGCCTTTCTGAATATCTAATATACCAAGATTTAGATAGGGAAGATTAGATGAGGTCTGGAAAAAATGCCTTGAACCAGAGAATGTAAAAATGAAAGAAATATGCATCTACAGGCCATGCTTCGAAAATGTGAAACAGAAACTTGAAAAGTGCACTCAGTAGTCGACTGAGCAGCCACTCCAGACATTTTTTGTAATTCCAGTTGATGCATTTCAGAAGCTCCCAGAAGCTAAGAAAAATATGCCCCTTGATTATTTTTGAGGGAGCTCTGGCTTAACTGCACTTTGAACAGTATTCACTTTATCTGCAGGCTACTGCACAACAAGGTAAGAAATAACAACAATAAACACAAATAAATTAGAGCAAAAGAAAAACTATTTAACTACATAACTGTCTTACTAACGTATGGTAGAAGCACAGATATCAAGGAGAAATGTCCAAATCAACAAAATCTGCAAGTCTACAAAATTAGGTAGGCAAACACGTCCACTTCTGAAACGCTCCTGGTGTGATATGACACCATGCAGAGGAGCCAACAAAAGCGGGTCACAGGCAGACTGTGAAGAGCTGCGGCTGGTGGACACGTCCCTTCCAGTTTCCTTACAGTCAGGATGGTGGTGAAGATAACAACAAAACTGGTACTAATTGAACTCGTATCTCATATCAATGATTCATAACATATTGGGTACTGAATTAATCTTCAGACGCTCCTTGCCAAAACAAGACCAAACTTTTCTATGGTTGTCAGTTTTTGAGCTACGATGAACGCCGAAATGTGACCTGCAATGAACTAAGTAGGCCCAAGGCTTGTTTTTAGCCGAGCTGATTTTGGCTAAAAACAGTAGCTGATTTCAGTAAACTTGTTGCCCCTACTGGCCGGCTAAGAGGAGTGCGGAGTCAGCAGTCAATTAAGGTACAGAACAGTCAATAAAACAGTTTTGTTTTTTGTTTTTTTAACAATTATGACTTACCGCAACCATGAGAGGTCCTTGAGCATAGTCATAAACGTGCACACAAAATATCTGGCAAATTGGTTTAGTAATATCTTAGATAAGCTGCAGACACACACAACCAAATGCATAATCCCCATCAGGCTTACGGCTCAATAAACAGAGCTAAAAACATGTTCTTCTTGGCAAAGGTATCAAATACATAATTGACACAGAATTTCTCTCTCTTTTTTTAGTTTTAATGAGGATTTACAGACACTTGACCTAAAATCAACCACAGACCATATCTCCTGTTTTTTTGTTTTTGTGTGTATCAGATTGTTGTCTAGTATCAGCCACCTGGTGCTGGACGAGATCCATGAGAGGAACCTGCAGTCTGACGTCTTGCTCGTCATAGTGAAGGACCTACTCAACCTCCGAGATGATCTCAAGGTCATCCTCATGAGTGCCACCCTCAATGCAGAAAAGTTTTCTAAATATTTTGGTATGCAGCCCTCCACATGACAAAGTTTGTTCAAAATTAATAATGCAGGTTAATTGTTTTGTATTGTTCCTCCTTCTTCTCTAACCATTTCCCTGTGTCAAACCTTCAGACAACTGTCCAATGATCCACATCCCTGGTTTGACCTTCCCAGTAGAAGAGTTCCTACTTGAGGACATTGTGGAAATAACCAGGTATAAGACCAACACGGCTCCCAAACACAAAGGACTGTCACAGCCTAACATGACCAGAACTGCTACATCCCTTTCATTTTAATTGGGTCTTATATAAACTGATTGGTGTGTCTGCCAGGTACCGTTCTCAGAATCAGGACCGTCGCCCCGCATGGAAGAGAGGTTTTTGGCAAGGGCGCCACTCCAGACCTGAGAAGGAGGAGAAGGAGGCTGAGTACAAGGAAAGCTGGCCTTGTTACGCACGCACACTGCAGGGCAGGTGGGTTGCTGAGAACAGCAGGGTAGTTAGATTGGTGGAGCAGCTGCCAGGTTGATAGATGTGTTATTTAGGTGGGGAATAGGAAGGTTTGGCTTTGTAACATTTTGATTGTTAAAATGAATAACTCCTTGTGTTTGTGAATTTGAACTTCAAGTTAATCGACGTGTATAAAAGCTGAATACAGAGCAGAGTGCTCTGGAACACTTGACCCTTTGATAGATTTGTTACATAAACATTAAAGTGTTGTACCTGTGCCTTTAGGTTACTGTAGTGTCTCTTGATGTTGTAGCTTATCTGCGCCTCTTCAACATCATAACTGCAGATTTTGAGAGGTAACATGAGATACACAAACACTGCAACTAATGTCATTTACTTGCTTTTTACTTCCTGCAACTACCTCAACATTTTTTAGGGGACCAGCTCCACTGTAGATGTCATCCTCTTTCCTCTAACACCTAACTAACCTTATTCAGTTAGTGCAGCAGCTATTTGTGGCGCAGTCCCTTTTCTATGCAACCATTATTATTGCTCTGTGTCACAATGTGAAAGCGAGAGAATGTAAACATGATTACTGCCAGTGTACTGTCTTTGTAGAAGGTGTATTTAACATTGTCTGAATGCATGGCGCAACAATCTTATTATGATAATCAATAGGCAGAACTCTGGGCAGAGCTATATCACTTCTCATATGAACACTGAAACTGTGTTATTTCTGTGATCATTAGACCTGTTCACACTGAGGTTCCAGCAGTTTCAGTGAGACAAATCAAGTGTGTATTTCCAGAAGTTACAGTGCTGTGGTACATAATCCCCTCTTTGCACTGCCTCGCTGAGCTGCAGTGGAGGGATTGTAGCAATCACATTGAAGTTTGTGTCCATGTTAAATCACGGATAATGATGGATTATTTATTTAGTAATGTGTTGTCTATGTGCAATATTTTGTACAGATACTCCGACAACACGATTGAGACTCTGGAGCTGTTGGACAATGATGACAAGATTGACCTGGAGCTGATTCTGGCACTGATCCGCCATATTGTTCTCAATGAGGAGGTGAGTTTAACTCTGCGTGGGTTTCAGGTCAGCTGTCTGTGGCTTAATTCTGGTGTCTTAAATTTGATTTTTAATCAAGTAGGGGCAACTGGGGTTGGCTGGCACACTTTTCACTCTCAGCTGTACTTCTCTGGCATAATTTATGTTGGAATATTCTAACTGCAAAGTTTTAGGGCTGCTGTGAAACTATGCCTACTCAGGGCAACAGAAAAGTTTATCTTGGGTGCATCGGTACAATGGGCAACCAAGAAAGGACGACAAAGGAGATACCTGCGCACCAGTGCAACTGGGCTGGACAGCCACAAAAAAGGTCAACAGGCTGAGATCAATGCAAAAAAATGTCAGTTTATTTGGGACATCTGTGCTCAAAAAGAAGGGTGCTCAGTTCTTCACTTTCATCATTAGAATATTCTAACAGCAAATTAAAGATTGAGGTCTCAACTAAAAATAAATATGTTTTTATGTACACAAAAATTTCTAAAATTACATGGCTTGTGATTTAAGGTATGCTGTGCATTTGTGCCAAACCAGCACCATCACAGGGTTGGTTGGCACTTGTTACCGGGCACAATGATAAAATGCTGTAGTTACAAAATATAAGGCTACCAATAGAAACATTTAAACAAGAACCACAAAACATTTTTAATAGAATATCTTTCCATTTTTAAAAAACAAACAACACTTTTTAGCAGTTATTCAGTAGGATTGTCTAATTACTTTGTATAGAAATTTTGCTACTAAACTTTCAAAATAATAATAATTAGCTGACAATATAAATGTTGTTTTTAAACTTCCAAAAATAGTTTTAATCTCTTAAAATACAGTTACAATTCTTGATTTTTATTCCCCAGATTAGCGTGCCAAACATCCTTTGACCCAACTTTGTGATGAAATTTTGTAAGTCGGCTACAATCACTAATCACAGACATTCAAATCTCCTATCATAATGTAGCCGAATCCTTTGTCTATAAACCAGAAGTAACACATTCCTAATATTTCTATCTAACACAGTTTTCATAATGCTTCAGTCTATAGACCACATTTTTCTTCGATACTATAAAAATTAAATGTTACGCTCACCAAAAAAGTGACTTTGTAATGTTTTAACCTAGTAGACAGTGACATTTTCTTTATTTCTGTGTCCTAAAAAGGGCCACAGAATAGCTATATGCCAACCAATCCGAGTCTCCCCTACATTTGTAGCATGCCAAATAAAAAGGGATTCCAGGGAGCCTGTTATATTCTCATGAGCAGTCTAAAAAGCCCTGAGTGTGCTTGTATCTTGGAAACTTGTCTCGTAGATTTTAAGATTTGTGTTCTTGGACTTGGAAATCTCCCAAAATTTTGATTGCCTACATGCCGACAGAGCAGCGGTCCATTAGGGAGATGGTTTCAGGTCAAATAAAAGTGAATAGTTGACACAGATGCAGAGACTCACAAAAGGAGTGAAGTACAGTACAGTCCTCGGTGGAGCAGATGGAAGGAACAGTAGGGCTAGCTTCCAAACACTGAGCGATATTAGATCAGAGGAGATAACACAGATCCTGGCAGCTGATCTGTGCTAATGAGTGATCCAACAGATGCTCTTCCAGCGCACGTCCATTCCCCTTTTTTCCCTTTCTAGTTCTTGTTAAATTTCCTCGCCTCTATGCAATTTCAGTGTTGAATTCAGAGGCTGGTAATGTGGAGTATGTCAGCTAAGTCAGATAAAACATTTCTCTTTTTAATGTGAATGTTTTAGTCTTTCAATAGACCCAGTAGTCTAACTATGCCGATATCAGGAGCTGCTGCTGTTCATGTAATGAAAGCAGAGCAGAAAGTTTTGAAAAATGGTTGCTATTTCAGTAAATTCAATAAAATTTGTATTAGCAGCATGTTTCTTGTATTTTCCAACTGTTTTCTTGTCAGTCACGTAGGCTTGTGCCAACATGTTAGAAAACAGACGGCACAATGGAATAAATTCTTGCAATCGATACTGTTCAGTGTAGCCTGTTAAAAGCAGAATAACGAGAGTGAGGACAACTAAGAAAAATGGAGGAAGGAGAGGAAGGAAAAAAAAGACACAGTCTACTCTCACTTTTAAAATATTTTTCCAAATGAAGTGGAACTAGTTGAACTTATTTGTTAGTTTGTGACTGTGTTTGTGATAAACGTTTGTGATATGAGAGGGGAGCAGAAAAAAAAGGGACAGGCCCCGATTGAGGAGTGACTAACGCAGACAGACAGAATAATTATCCCTTCCCATATGAAGCCGTATCTCTATCAGTCACGGCCACCCTGAGCCAGTCGACCAGCTGATTCGCCGTGGCATTGTCAAACGGCCAAGAGGGAACTGGCTGATTCTCCGTGACGGCGTTCTGAACCGAGGATGCGGGCCGTCTGCCAGGCTTTCGACTGTGATGATTGGTTAATTATGTTGCAGGAGTCTGTGATTAGACACCTAGGGGGTTGACATACAGGCATTAATGAATGCCTGCTGGGTGCAACTATGTGTGTGTGGGTGGTGCAGCTAGTGTGCGTGCTAAGTAGTAGGCCAACACCACTGCGCTCTTACTTGATTTTTTGTTGGAATTAATCAGAGCCTCTTTTTCTGCTGCATGTGTGTGGACATGTGCTTTTGTCAGGTTGTAACTAGGCACACTGTCTGCATCTCTCTCCTCCTCCTCCTCTCTCGTTCACACACACATGCACAGGCATTAATACACACATATACAGTCCCATGTGGGTGTCGGTGGTTGAGCACTGGTAATAATGATTTGCTTTAATTAAAAGGCAGAGGTGCTCAGGGCTTGTTCATCTCCCCTTCTTTCCTCTCAGGAAATGAATAGTCATTTTTAAAGAGTGGGTTATTTTGTACCAGCTTAATATTATCCTGAGAATAATTTTTGTTTAAATTTAGGTCTTTGATGCGGCCAGAAAGCTTTTCCAGAAACTTTACTTTTTACCTTAAATTACTGTCATCAGTACGTATGTGTGGGTAAAAACATTATTTATCTCTGATCTTTTCAGCATGGTGCATACAGCATTGTCTTTAGAAGCTGCTTCAGGTTGCTTTGTACAGTCTGATCTGCACGTGAGTGTCATAAATTGCAGCCTTCACATTTGTGTCCAAGATTTACGGCCCTATCTTACACCAGGCACAAAGTGGTGCCAGTGCAGTACAGCTGTCATTGCCGGGTTCACCCTGACGCGCTTTTTATTTTCACGGTCAGTGCCCACGTTTTGAAATACCAGATGTACTTGTGCTCATCAGTGCACCCATGGGCGTGGAGGTGTTAAATTGTGGTGTGGTCAGGTGCGTTGCTATTTTGAGGCAGTAGAAAGTGATTGTGCCCTTGACCAACAAAAAGCTGGTCTGAAAGTCAGAATGGTGGAGTGTTTTTACTGCTATTTAAGGGCACATTACTCAGATAGTAATATGTGCTTACGTAGGCAGGTTCACAACATGCGTACACTCTGCTTGCTACACACACGGGGACTCATGGATTAGTTGTGGGTGGGTGAATTAAGACATCATCAATGAGGAAAACATCAATTACATTCTTTAAAATGTGAACGGAGCAGCTGCTGTCCAACTCCCCATTAAGCCTCTGAAACCAAGTAAAGCAAATCAGCTTGGTTTCTTGTAAACATTGGAAGAAGGGAATGAGCAAGGAAAAAGGAAATGACCCAAAAAAATTAGCAAGAAATTAGTAAAAAGAGAAAATTAATAACAAGAAAATTATAAAAACAAACAAGGAAATGACCTGGAAGAATGCTTAGAAATTATAATAATCCTGTAACATAATTTAAATCCTCCTTTTTTAAAACGTGATAATAATACTGTTATTATTATTATTATTATTATTATTATTATTATTTAAAATATAGTTTTTCCCTTGCTTTTTTTTTTATATTTTTGTGGGGGGGTTTTCTTCGCAATTTTTGGGACATTTCTTACCAAGTAGCTCAGTGCCTTTTCCCCATATTTTTTGAAAGAAATCACACCAATTTGCTCAGCGTTCAAAGGTTTAAATATTTGTGAAAGCCACCTGAAAGCAGCGCAAGAAAAGTGATGTCGCTCCCGGTTTCAAGGGGTTAAGAAAGATGCTCTGTGCATTTACACACTAGGAGCAGCGTGACTTCACTGATTATTTCAGACGCTAAAAGCTTGGTTCCGCTCTCACTGCATGACTCTCAATGTAATGCAGGCTATATCACTTACACACCCTATGTTACATTGACTTTGTGAAGAATTGAAATGCCTCCATTGAGCCAAGAATCCAAAATGGAGAAATTTCTTGATGAGTTTAAGTCACAGAGCTCCGTGTTGAGCTGAACTGACATTGACACTTATCTATGCTCTCTTCAAAGCCAGGCTCCATTGACAACAATAATTGTACCTGACTGAACACACAAGCTGCTGGTCTACCACTTCCTTGACTGGTAGCTTGTTTGTGTTATTGTGCGACTTTGCTGAATCTGAACTGTCCAGCTACATGATTTACATTCCTACATCTGTTCTGTTTATTTGATGTATGTAGATGTCTGCTCTGTTAGTTCAATATGATTAAAAAATAACACAAAGTATCTGTTAGTAAATATCTCTTAGATATTCCATCTTGCAAGTTTTCATTGTTTTATTATGTCTTTGCTGCTGCAGTAACAGTATTGCTCATCATCAATCATTTAAGGTATCTTCATCCAATGCAGCATTATGCGATGTTGTTTTAATGTTCTGGGGCTGACACCTACTCTGTGTAAAGTGGTCATCCATTCCATTGTCAGACAACTGAATGTGCAAAGATTTGCTCGCACTGGAACACCTCCAACTCTGTTAGCCCAAATCATCTGTTATCCTGCTGATGTTTTCTCAGCTTGTATTTGTGTGCCTACATTTTCCAGGTGACTAATTGTTTTTCTCTTTTTTTTTGCTGCGTTGAGAGAGTCTATCCTTGTGGTAATGTGGAACAGAGGCTGTACTGCAGTGGGAAGATGTTGTTGTCATAATGATGTTGGCAGGCAGTGTCAGCGCCTATTGTGTGACTGAATGTGGAGGTTTTGAGCTCAGAGCAAGTCATCTCCATCTGCCTCGGCTCAGCTCCTCCGAGGAAACGGGCACCTTGTTCACTTGGCTCGGTTGTTTAGGAGGCTCCTTGGGCTAATGGCTGTTTGTTTCTGTTGGCAGTTAGGATGTTCCTTGTTTGTTTTTTTAACTCTTCCAAAGCCCTGCTGGTTTTTGTATGTCTTTCAGCTGCTAAGCGTTGTGTCATGTCTTTGTCTGACAGGAAGGAGCAATCTTGGTCTTCCTGCCTGGTTGGGACAACATCAGCAGTCTCAATGACCTGCTCACGGCTCAGCAGATGTTCCGATCAGGTACACGCACACATGTGACATGGAAATGCATACCAGTGACTTGCAGGTTGATAAACAGTAGAGGAGATTATTATTGACTTATGGATGTGCTGTTTTGTGCTTTTCAAAACCTCCTCCACTCAAAATGTGCTTTGCTTATTTTTACTTGGATGTTTGACCTTCAGTGTGCAAACTGATGTTTGTGCAGAGTTTGGCACTAGAATGCTGTTTCACATTCAGGTGCTGAAGGGAGAAAGTTTCTGTGTGCTCAAATCTCAGTTTAACACATGTATGTAAGCATGATTTGTGACATCGCAACCAATTTGGAAGCCAATTACAGGCCAGTTTCTTACACTTTATAGACGTATCAAGGAAATATTCTGCAGATTCTTTTTTTTTTGGTTAAAAAAAAATAATGAAATCAAATAAAGATAATTATTAAAAAAGATGGAATAAATCATTGATAATGAGAAAAAAAATACGTTATTTCAGCCCCTGATGTGTGATGGGAATACTTATGAAACCTCCAGAGCACATATGCTGAGAAAAGACGCGACGGACATCTTGCGCTATGTAGCTAAACATGTGTAATGAACAATGTTTGCACATTCACACATTCTGGCTTCTTTTTTTTTAAAGAAGCAGATGGAATTTTAAGAAATTTTTGTGGAGAAAACATATTAAAGATCCAGTGTGTAGGATTTAGGGGGATATATAAGCAGAAATCGATAATATTAATCACTTAAGAATGGGAATCGTCGTGTTTTTGTTGCCTTAAGCCCCATTCCCACTGCACAATAAACCCCACTAACACCTGCTAACATCTGGCTTTTCCATTTATTGGAAAAGGTTACAATCGGCATTCACTCACAGGTCAAATGACTGATCTGCACCAGCTCCAATCAGCAGTGATTGAAATATGACACCAGGTAGACGCACTAATTTTAGCCCTTTGCCAATGCAATGCAATGAGCTGTAACAGAACACTGTCTTGTTTCCATCCAACACTGCTTGGAAGTTTGAAAGAGAGACTGAATAAGTAAGACATATTAAGAAAGTAACCACTGTTACATTTTTCACTGGCCTCCGTGCTGCTTTCTACTGTTAACTAACCTGTTTTATGGCCTGTCCGTGGCGTGGAACAGGACACACCAGAAAAAAATGCACACATACAGAAAGGCATACACATGCACTGCAGAGCTTTGCACACAGCTGTGGTCCACCGTAAATGGGAAAGGAGTCAGTCGCCTTTTTTATCAGGTTTTCCAGCGTTAAAAAAAAAAAAAAACTGCATCCACATGCTAATTTTAATGGAAAGAGTGTATTAGAATGAGCTTTTCATATCTACATAGGGAGCTGGTCCTCATCAACGGAGTCCGCCATGTTGCACCTCAATCTTTCTACAGTAGCCCAAAACAGACAAACCAAACACTGACTCTAGATAAGGCCATAGGTGTTACTGAACTGAAGCAGCTGAACAGCTTCAGAAAAATAGATTTCTAACGTGAAACTACTTTGTCCAGTATTTTTACCGGTTTTAATCACCTGGTCCTTTTGTTTTGAAGAGGAAAAGACCTCCGCTGATTAATTTGGCTCCTAGTAAAAACCTCCCGAACAATGAACACTGAAGGACTTCTAAGTGGGAGTTTGTGCTTGACACATGAGAGAAATTTCAGCTGCTTGCAGTCTTCAGTCCACCACATCCCACACACTGCTCCTTTACACACAAATGATCATTATCTAAGCAGAGTATTGTCATGTCACAAAACATGACTGGAGGTTTTTTTTAATGAATTGCTTTTGTGGTTTTTTCTCTGTCTATATTAGATAATAATAATATACTAGAGATATGTCGCCAAAGATGAGTAAATAATGGTGATAAAGAATTACTGCATTCTTGATATTTACCAGGAAATTCAAGGTTGTATTTTTAGACGTGATCATTCAGCCTTGCGCACCAGCAGTATTATCTTGTGTTGGCAAATGGTGTTTTGTTTGAGTTTCTCTTTTGTGTCCTGTTGTGTTTCAGACCGGTTCGTTATCATCCCGTTGCACTCCCTCATGCCGACCGTTAATCAGACGCAGGTCAGCATTCCTCTGTTTGTCGCCGTGCCCGTCTCTCTGACTGTCTCTGTGTCTGTCTCTGTGTCTGCTGATGCTTTACTCCCTCCTCAATATCAGAAGAGACCAGTCTCATCTCTCTCCCTCACTCTTCTCAGGTGTTCAAAAGGCCTCCTCCTGGAGTTAGAAAGATTGTGATTGCTACCAATATAGCTGAGACCAGGTATGTGTGGATCTGTGTGTGTTTGTGTGTGTTTGGTATGCCCAGCCTTTGTACTCACTCCCTTTTGAAAATGTATTTTTGGTTGTTGCTTTCTGATGAGTTTGGTGGGGGGGGGGGGGGGGGGGGGGGGGGGGGAGTGATGACTGTCTCAGGCAGTTTTGTGTGTGTGTATGTGTGTAGAAGTGTAATGTAATAGGTTCCAGTCATTAATGCAAACAGTGTATTTGGGGCTAATTAGCACACATTTCTTGGATTGATTATGAGCACTGTCATATTGGCTCGGATGGAGCACACTAAGTCTCTGTCAGGCAATTTGTTAATGCATTCACACACAGCCTCACGCACACACAAACCGAGCAAATTAAGAAGCTGCCTGCACTCCCAGCACATCACGCCACTAAATATAGACTCTAAACCTACCAAAGGGCTAAATTTTATTTTTACTTCTGAACGATTGTGTGTGTGTGTGTGTGAGAGTTTTAGCTAAGCATCCTTGACAGACTCCTTTGAAGTGGTTTTTTTCTTCTGTCTGATTTGGTTTTTACTCCAGCCTCTTTTTTCTTTCTCCCCCTCTTCTTCTCTCTCCACTCTTCCTTGCAGCATCACCATAGATGACGTTGTTTATGTGATAGATGGAGGGAAGATTAAGGAGACCAACTTTGACACCAACAACAACATCAGCACGATGACAGCAGAGTGGGTTAGCCTGGCCAATGCCAAACAGAGGAAAGGACGTGCCGGCAGGTGTGTGTGCGTGTGTGTGTGTGTGTACTTGTCTGTGCTCCGGGGTATTTTTATATTTTGCATTTTTATAATGAGGGCATGCTTTTTATTAGCACCTCAGGGTATGCAGCGCTAATCAGGGAGGATTATTTTTGGGTGTGTTTGTCATCTCAGCTCTCTGTCAGTCTTCTCCATCAGCCCCCTCCTTCCTGCCTTCCCATCTGTAAACACTGAGAAAGGCAAAGCGTAGTCACTCCCAGGTTGTTTCCAGTCTGTGACTTGAGACGTCTGTTCTGTTAGCTAGCTCTGACATCAAAGTGGAGCAAGGCCCAATTAGCAGGGAGCTGCTTACTGTGTGAAGTTTCATCCCATTGATTTTAAATTAAGCCCTTGTCACAGGACTGATGTAACAAGTAACCTTTTTTTCCCCTCTCTGCTCCGCTCTTCTTCTTCTGTGCCTATACCCAGAGTGTGTCCAGGGAAGTGCTATCATCTGTACAATGGTCTCAGGGCCAGCCTGCTGGATGCCTATCAATTACCTGAAATCATGAGGACACCACTGGAGGAGCTCTGCTTGCAAATCAAGGTTGTGTGTGTGGCGAGAAACGGGGAGACAAACTGATGGAGGACGACAAATAGGTGTTGCCTGGGGAGTTGAGATGAGGACAAGATTGCTGTGAATGAGTTGTTTGAGTGCAGGGAGGGGGGTGTGAGGACAGCGCTGCCGCTTTTGGTCTTACGTTGAATTACAGCCTCTCCTGCCTAATGAGAACTAGAAATGGACATTCTGGGCTGACTCATGCCCCTTGCTCTGCAGCTATTTCTCCCTCTTTGTGCCGACAACATAATCATTTCTCTTCTGGGCCTCGTTCTCTTAAATTAACAGTTGCGCTCTTCTTTGGTTGCTTACTTTTTTCCTCCCCTCCTCTTTTTGCTTTTTCTTTTTAAACCCTCACACTCCACTCAGACATATTTCAGCCCTGCTAATGGAACATTATGCCAAAGTTCACTCAGATCTAGTGTTTGCTATGATTGTCCTCAGCAGTGGCTTTATTGGATATGTGTTTGAGTGTGTGTCTTTCACTACTTGAGTTGGCTGTATTGGATAGTGTGTGCGTGCGTGTGTGTGTAATGTGGGTTTTGAAGCTAGTGGGTGAGAGGTGGACTAATGCATCAGTCTGTCCTTAAAGTGAGAGAAACACTGACAACATGCTAACCCTTCGCAGACTCTATAATCCACAAGCACTCCAACACTACTGTATTAGACACAGAAATGTAGTCGCATCCTGACTCCTCAGTTTATCACGTGTGGATGTTTGGTGTATTTAAAATCTCTCTTTGATGCTGAAGTGACTGAGCATTGAAGCATATAAATGTGATTTACTCTACAGTGTTGGTTGTTTTGTCAGATGTATCTTGTAAACAGCGATATAAGCAAACCATGAGAAGATGCGCATGAAGCTTATTACAGCAGACCTTAGTCTGCCTGGATATTGCCCACAATTCAGTGTTTGCCACAAGTGCTGAGCACTTAGACGAAGAGAGGGGGGTTTAATGTAAAAATAATTGCATGCTTTTGCTGAGGAGTGTGTAATGTGGTGTGATGTCTGCCGCCTAGATACTGAAGCTCGGGTTTATCGCTGGGTTCCTGGAGAAAGCTCTTGACCCTCCCACTGAAAAGGCCGTCAACCTAGCTATCAAGAACCTCGTAGACCTGGTAAGAAAGCATAAAGACATTCAAAACATTTTACTGAGTGGTTAAGAACAAACCAGGAACAACATTTAACCTTAAGAATGTGACTGTGATTGGTTTCAGTATTGATTAATCTGGAAATTTTCTTGATTTTTCTCTTTTGTTTTGTGTCTTGAAATCGATGTTAATGTCTTTAAATAGCTTGCCTTGTCTTATGTGAAAGTAAACTGATCATTTTTATGTTTTAGACCAACAAAAACAGCAAAATGTAACAACTAAGCAGCTGAAATTTGGGAATGTGTGGACCTTTTGTTTGAGGAGTTGAGAAATACTTGAGTATTTTCTACCGATCACCTAATTAATTAATTAATTAACTTATTGTGTTAGCTTTAATTAACACTATTTACCAAACCACAGATCCTTAAAAAGTCTTAAAAGGCATTGAATCCCGTAATGTAAACATAAGGCCTTAACTGGAATTTAAATGTCTTAAAGCAATCTGTCAAGAGTCTTAATATGCAAGGACATTTGTTAGATTTTATGAATAGCTTTTTCTGACGTAACATTGCTTTTTAAAAATACAGAAGCAAATGCCTCTCTCATCAACGTCACGCAGATTGGGGTAGCTGAACCATCAACACTCATATTTTGTTTTTGGCCAAGATTCTCAGAGCAGAGTGTCGACTTTCTGCTCGCTGGCTTTCACTGTAACGTTGCTTTTGTTCAGCTTGACAATGTATTAGTAACATTAACGTTTTGGTCCTTCTGGACCTTCGTCGCGAGTGTTCAACACCATTATTTCTAACATTGAGCTTAAATAGAAACTTCTCCAACCATCACAGGAGTGCACAGGTGTAAGTTCAGCTGTGGGTGTGTTTCAACAGCTTGTGCACCATTTCTGTTCAAAGATACTTTTCCAACGCACTTGCATCTGAGACAGTTGGATGTGCAAATGCCTTTCTTCAAACTGTAGCATGGCCGGCATAGGGAAGTGCGAATTCAATGAAAACTGGCTGTTTAACTAAGATTTTGCACCATGGCTAAAACTGGTGTAAGGCAATACACAAGGTTTGGTGTATTTTATGCAAAATAAAAATTAAAAAAAAGTCGACAAGATGTGAATGAAGGTAGTGGAATCCAACAAGCAGAGTGAGAAACACAAAATCACAAAAAAAAAAAAAAAAGACCTTGGCATCAAACACCAAGTATTCCCCTAAAAACTCCTGTGTTATATTGGAATAAATGTGGCCAAACCCCATGTCATTCATGTTGGGTTTTTGTGATTTTTCTTTTTGATTTTGGTTATTGTAAAATTGGTCTTAAATTTCATTCAGAGTGGCATCAAAAAAGTATTAAAAAGTTGTAATTCTAACTTGCCCCAAGCTGCAGGAACTACAAGCAACAAAAGAATAATCGTCCTTTTGGGAAACAGTAGCATTTCAAAAAGAGAGACTGTCTCTTAACCTGAGCGTGTGGTTTCAAGGTCTGCTGTCTAAAATCATTATCTGCCAGTTCCAAAGATGCTTATCCTCTAGTGGAGGGAGCAAGAAGGGAAAAAAACTGAGGACTAAATGAGAAATAAGTGTTCATTAAAAGGGTTAAGAAGGTTAAACGAGAGAATGATGTCATGTTAACAAGGTTTAAACACAATGAAAATCAATGTAGAGGTTGGACAAAATTCAAATCAGTTGCTCCAGAGAGCCTTAAAAAGCTTTAATTAATTGATATGCTGTGTTTACAAAGGCTTTCTCCCACTTTATATTTTGGGATATTTATTCTGTCTCTTGCGGAAATGTTTAAAACACCTTATGTTGAGCTGTAGCTGACTAAAGATGTGTGACTTTCTTTTCTGGGTGTTGTGTCGATGTTGTGTGTCAGAACGCCCTGGACCGTTCAGAGAATCTGACAGCGCTGGGTTTCCACCTGGCTCGCCTGCCTGTGGAGCCTCACATTGGCAAACTCATCCTGTTTGGAGCTCTGCTGGGCTGCCTCGACCCCATACTCACCATTGCTGCTTCGCTCAGCTTCAAAGACCCTTTCTTCATACCCCTGGTAGGGCACCAGAGTTCACAGACATGAAAGCTCATGTCGACAGCGACACACAGACACACTTGAACACATTGCTGCGCTGTATCTGCTGACTTCTCTCTCTGCAAAGTAGGTCTTCAAGGGATATTATTAATGCATGTGTCTCTCTCAGGGCAAAGAGAAGATGGCAGACATGAGGAGAAGGACCCTCTCCAGAAACTCCAAGAGTGACCACCTCACTATTGTCAATGCCTTCCAGGTCAGACAGCCCACGTCCATCAGTTTTCTTTCATCTCCGTCTGCTGCATGAATTGGTTGTCTTAATTTATACATTGATTGTCCAGGGCTGGGAGGAAGCGAAACAGCGTGGTGCCAGGTATGAGAGGGAGTACTGCTGGGACAACTTCCTGTCTGCCAATACACTCCAGGTGAGCCAGGCTGATTGAGAGTGCTGTGCTGAAGTGCTTTGAAAAAAAAAAAAAACACATTACATTTTTAAATTGACTTCTGCCTGGGCAGATAAGGACGTGCAGCATTTTAGAACTGATTTGTCCTTTTATTATTCAGATGCTGCACAATATGAAGGGCCAGTTTGCTGAGCATCTAATGCATGCAGGCTTTGTCAGCAGCAAGGACCCCAAAGACCCCAAATCTAACGTCAACTCAGGTAACTTAGGGGAGTTTTTTGGTTGCCATTCAGCTGTCAAAAAAGCTGGCTGTGGAGCAGAAATAAAATATCATATGGGACGTGTGCTCATTTGTTCTTTCTCTAACTCTCACTTCCTTCCCCAGACAATGAAAAGTTGATCAAGGCGGTGATTGTTGCCGGTCTTTACCCGAAGGTGGCCATGATCAGACCGTCCCACAGCAAAAAGAGGCCGGGGTGAGTCTGCCAATTCAAAGAGGGAGATAAACAAAGACAGACAGGAAGAGGGCTGCACGGCACAAGATAGAGAAGTGCACAATCATTCCTATTGATCTTTAGACAGAAAAATGGCCTTCACACTGCGATAACTCATCAGACCTCTCAGGTAAGAGTTCTTTAAGAGTCCTGTGACAATTACCTGAGGCAGTGCAGAGACCGTGTTAGGAAAATTGTCAAAAACAGAGGCGCTTTTGTAGCTGAAGATCAATGCAGTCATCATAAAACTGCCCTCAGTCAGCTGTCACGGGCGACCTGAGCTGTGACCTGCGTGCAAAAGACAGATGCACGCAACAGGGAGACAGACACACACTCTCACAGTGGGGCTGTCACTTTTGTTTGTCGGCCTCAGTGACAGCTTCAGACCCAGTTGCACAGTGAAATTGCCAGGGTCATTTCCTCTGCATAAGTAATTGTCCACACTTGTGATGCTAAGACAGTTGAAAGTTTTCACATGTCCGCGCAACATCTCAGTGTTTAATGGATTCATTGCTCGATGAAGCACTTCTTGTTTGTTTTGCTGCTAAATCAGAAACGCTGTCTGGTACAAGCAGCTTTGTTCCCCGCAGTCAAGCAGTCAGTTATGTCTGGCTGATACTCAGGAGTTTGAAACATGATGTTACTTTCATGTTAGATGATTCGCAGACTGCATCGCAACTTCTCTTTGGTACCATCCGTGCCAAAATGGCAGGAGGCAGTCGAATTAACAAGCCAGGCAGATCTTATGGGTTGTTCCTGGAACTACCTTCTGAGTCACTTCAACACAATGTGTTAAGGAGTTTTAACAATGTCTGCGACAACATATGCCTACAAATACACACTTTGTAGGCATGTGTGGATACATTTCTTCAATTATTTTGGCCAAAATTGTACAAAAATACATCTGTTATCACTGAAATAAGATGGAAATCTCACTGAAACGTGCTAAAAAAATACTCTACAGATTTAGCAGTGCACTCCTATTATATTGTTACACCCACGATGGAGAGTGAAAGAGATTAGAAATAGAAACAGAGTTATTGTCTTTTATTTACCACACATTTCTTCTTCCTTGTCATAAATCTGGTGCCCATGTCACCTAAGGTATGCACTAATATGGATTTTTTCAACAGATACAGATACCTGATAATTACCTGCTTCTCATGGCTGATATCCGATACGATAACCAATAGTTTAATGTTTTTGTAGAACAGTTCAATGAAAAGATCATATTTACACCTGTGAAATATTTATTAAAGTTAATGAAATGTCAGAAATTTGGGAAAATACTCACAAGTTTCCTAGAGTTGTAGTCGTAGGTGGCCAACAGATGAAAGTTGATGGTTGGAATTAAATAACTCATCGGTTAACAGAACTGTTGCTTAATTTTCTGTCGACCAAGTAATCACCATATTTTTTCAGCTTAATTCTCAACACATTATAATTCATCTTTTTATAAAACTGTCATGCTTCAGGTCTTCCTCTTGATTGCGGAAAAGTTCAGTCGTCTTTTTTCTTTTTGTCTCCTCTGACAAAAAACATTTAGCTATGAAAAATGTTTCCTCTTCTGTTAATAAAAACTATTATGCTTTTGTTTATCAAGTGTCAGCCAGTCAAATTTACACACTTAAATATGTTTTCCTTCTCAGGGTTAAGGTATACACCCAGGCTGATGGAAAGGTGTGTATCCACCCGAAATCAGTCAACGCCGAAGAGACTGAGTTCAACTACAAGTGGCTCATCTACCACCTTAAGATGAGGACGAGCAGTGTGAGTATGCTGTGTTTTATTGCCGCTGTATGAATGTTTTTACATTTGAGTGTGTGTTTTTCTGTCTGTTTGATTTTGTATGTTTCCGTGCGGAGGGTGCGAGCGAGTGGAGAGAAGGACCGGTGGTTAAAGGTTGGCAGTGGTGCCGCGTCAGCTTCACACTGAATGAATATTTGATTAAAACGCTGCCTTTCAACTCTCTCTCTCAAAGGCTCTTGTGCTTCAAAGCCTCCAGACACAATGTAAGAGATGGTGTAGGGGAGGGGGCAAAACGGTCAATGCGGCTCCCTGACTGCTGCCCTCTCTCTTTCTTTTTCTCTTCTGTCCTTTTTTTTTTGCCCCTCCTCACACTCTCATATCCCCCTCCCTTCCATCAGTCTTTGTTCTTCTGTGCAGTGAATGTTACCATTCGACAGAAAAACACCTTTCATGTTTTCTCTGATTGCTGCCTGTGTCTTTGTCTCTCACTTTACCGCCGTGGTTATTATGAAGAAAAGTGTCGTGCTGGATTTCACCATTATTATCACCACCATTAAATGTTTTTTTTTTTCTTGTTTTGTGCACAGTCTGTGTCTATTCTAACGGTAAGGTGTTCTGAGAGTGCGAAATTGTCAAGGTCATTTGTTTACTGAGAGAGAAGAGAGCGGAAGAGCAAGGCTATAGAAAGGGAAAAAAAAGGAAGGAAAGTGAGGGATGACGTTAAAGTTTATCTCCTGACGCACTTGCCCCTGGTGGTCTATTACATTACACATTGATGGGGCAAATGCAGTTGTCCCTGCTCTCTCGTCACTTCTTTTTCTCTCCTTGTCTCCCACCCACTCCCTCCACCTCTCCCTTCCTCTCTCTGATGCTAATTTCCGACACTTCTGTCTGTTACTTTCAAATCTGAAATGGGTTTTGTTTGACCTCGGTCTGCTGCTCATGTAGTCTGTGTGGCTTTTGACCTGAGAGCTTAGCAGTTCTGTGAGTGTATCACTTCTGTTTTCTGTCTGAAGTTGCAATAATTTGTGACACATATTGACTCACTTTGACATTTCTGTAAGAAAACAGGATTTTTACATTTTGTGTATCAATAGTCGAGCTCCTCTACATAAGCATCTGTCAGTTCAACACAGCGAGGAGAATGGATGGAGAAGAGTGTAACACATTTTCAAGATTCACAGACAGGGCAAGATGACATTTCTCCTAACACTGGAGGCAGCGAAACACATTTCAAACTTGCACAGCCTCTCTTCACTAATGGGACACTTTCAGCCCACACCACAGAATAGCTGTCGGGCACGGTGTGTCATAATGATCCCGCTCCCTGTCACCGAGTGGGTAAGCGTGTTTGTTGTAAAGCTGCTGTCGTTGTGCGTTAGCGACACCTCTCTGCGTGTCCTCAGATCTTCCTGTACGATTGCACCGAGGTGTCCCCGTTCTCGCTGCTGTTCTTCGGAGGAGATATCACGATCCAGAAAGACGAGGACCAGGAAACCATCGCTGTGGACCAGTGGATCGTCTTCAGATCCCCAGCACGCATTGCTCACCTTGTCAAGGTAGTATGACAGAGTGTCTGCAGGTCTTAAAAGACGTAATGTCTTAAATCCAGTGTTACAAATATGATTATATTTTTATTATATTGTTATATTATAACATTGCCACAAACATTTTATCTCTCATTTATCCATCTCTTAATTTCTTTTTGTCAAAACGAGTCAAGCCCTTCTGTGTGAAAGTCCACTTTTCTGATAATAATACTCATAATAACTCATTCATTTATTTACTCATTTTCTGTAACCACTTATCCTGTTAGGGGTCGCGGGGGGCTGGAGCCTATCACAGGTCACAGGGCTGACACATAGAGACAGACAACATTCACACTCACATTCACACCTGCATGTCTTTGGACTGTGGGAGGAAAGGGGGGGTACATGGAGAAAACCCACGTCGAAACGGGGAGAACATGCAAACTTTGCACAGAAGGGCTCTCCCACCCTGGGGTTCCAGCCAGGAACCCTCTTGCTGTGAGGCAACAATGCTAACCACAGTACCACCATGCTGCCTAATAATAATGCTAATGCTAATAATAATAATAATTCACTTTATTTATATAGCACCTTTCATACAGGAAATGCAGCACCAAGTGCTTTTCAATAAGGGCACAGAGTGTTTCACATGAAAATAGAGTGAACATAAAACAGAACTTGTTCAGAAAATCATAGAATTATAAAACTTTAAATCATAAGATAAAGTAAAATTTAAGAGTTGCAGCAGTGTGAAGCATAGGTAGAAAGTAAAAGCATAAAAAGAAAGAGTTTCAGACCTGTATCAAGAAGTCAGAGCTAGTTAAAGGCTAAAGGGAACAGTCACGTTTTAGCTCTTTTTAAAATATTTATTGATCTAGCTTCCCTGATATTAATGGGTAGTGTGTTCCATAGCTTTGGGGCGTAATTGACAAAGGCTGCATCCCTGATCTTCTTCCGGCTGTTGCTGGGAACCTCCAATAAACCAGCAGCAGGTGATCGCAGTGTTCTTGGAGGCAAATGGTTAACAAGGGAGTTAGTAATGTAGCTCAGTCCCAGCCCATGTAGTGCTTTGTATACAAGGAGCTTTAAAATCAATTCTAAATGTAACAGGAAGCCAGTGCCAGTCTGATGTTACAAACCTTTGAAACTACCACTGAACCTAATGCTGTCATTTAATGTTATATTTACAGTTAGCTGTTGGCAAAATGTCGATTAACCTAATTCACTCTAATAACCGTACTCCTACATAAAACCTTCCACTGCACAGGACTATATATATATGCATTACTTACGTTTATACTTACCTGCAATTCTTGAATAAGAAACAGATGATTGTTGAGAAATCAGTCTTAAATTTGTTTAAAATGATCTTAAACCGGTCTAAATTCAGGAGTCTGATACCTGTAAACACCCTGTACAAGCTGGAGGACACACACAGCGAAGCTCATGATGAGACTGCTTTCACTGACCTCTCATTCCTGTCTTTTCTGCAGAGTTTAAAGAAAGAGCTGGATTCTCTGCTGGAGGAGAAAATCTGTAACCCTGCTCCTGTGGACTGGCAAAACCGCCAGTCCAAAGACTGTGCTGTCATAACAGCCATCATTGACCTCATCACCACCCAGGAGAAGCCTACAGGCAACACTCGGGGCTGCGGCAGGACGTGGGCGTCTGCCCCGAGAGGACAACACATTCACTTCAACGACGATGACGACGACGACGATGATTAGAAGTGGCCAGGTTTTTCAGAAAGGAGCCGCGGGAATAACATACTGCATTCTGGGATACAGAGGTCAGTTGGTATATTTATGATAACCAGCTGGTTGGTGCTCCTAAAGGCCAAACCCAGGACACAAGTACTGGAACATGTTATGCACTAGACTCCCATTATTCATCTTTTTGCCTGCTCTGTCATTATTTTGCAAGGACCAATCCATGTTCAAACACACCTAGTAGCTGTTGTGTTTTTTTCAGTGTTCAGTTTGTACGTTCTTGCTCTTGTTCTTAAGCAATGTCACTAAATGGACTGCACAATAAAGAAAGTATGCTGAAAACAAAAACACACCTGGCTTATCTTAATCTGCTTTACCCTGCTGAAATTTAAGGAAAAACAAAGTGAAAACCATTACTCCCAAATATTGCTGGCTTCGTGATGGAGAGCCATAATCTGCTCTATGATTGGAGAGCACCATTTGTTCGGAGCTTTAAGGGAGCAATCTCTAAAATCACCTGGGTGATATTTGGTTGCAATGAACACCTGCATAGCTGTTAACCTTCAGCGGCACACAGTTGCAAACCCCTGATTTAGCAGCCGGTATCTCATAAATATCTGAAAAAGTGCTGCTGAACGAAGGATTTACGCACATTTCTGATTAATCTGCACTGAACGTCCACAGAGCACACAGCTAATTTATTGTTCCAAGTGCTACCGGAGGAATAAAAGTGGAGTAATTTTCTTGGGTCTATCTAGCGGTGGTCCTCGGGGGAAAAGAGGTGTCATATTGATCATTGAGAGTAGATGACAAGCCCCTGCAATTGAGCTTTTATTTATGGTGGAGTGAAATACATAAAGGTCGACTAAACAAGTTTCGGCAATATAAATCTGTATTTTGGAAAAACATACAAGTTATAATTCAGGCTGTTTTACATATTTACATGTACACAGATGATTTACAATAGTTACAAGTACAGGAAGTGATTGAAATAAAGATCAATTCATGCTTAGATGTGTGACATCACATAGCTAATTTTTTCCCTGAGTGCAAAGCTTTGTCTGGATACGTTGTCGCGTCCTTTCCGCCCGCTGCCGTCATACCTCGCTTCATGTAGCTCAACAGTTGTGGTTGTCATTTGGGCTGGAGCCAGAGCAGTGGGCTTGACAGATGGTGTTATCACCACACTCTGACCAAGCCATTCATTTCCTTTAGCTGGGCATGGCAACACTAAAAAGATGACTCACACTGGACAATCACATTAAAAGCAGGGCCGGCTCTTCTCTCCCCCCCCCGTCCTACCATCAGCACACACAAATTAATTTCTGCTTGCCTCTGTAACATCACAGATATAAATCCTATGGGGGATATTTTATATATACATATATATATATATATATATATATATACACACACACCCCTGTGATATTTCAGGCTGTCCAAATCATTGAGTGGATGGAGAGAAAAATGGCATGTGTGACACAAATGTAGAGTCTGATTCATGGTGGTGATATTAACAGGTGACAAACAGCCAGGTGGAGAACAGACTGTTGGCCCTGCTGCTTAACCCGTGGATGACACGAGATTACACCTCCCAGAGTAGTGTAATCCTCATCATCCAAATAATTATGACTATGAACACGTGTGCCGTGTTTCAGACACGTAGCATTCATGTTTGTCCTCTGCAGCTTAACGCACACTCCGTTTTGTTTTCTTCTAAGTGTCATTGTAATGGTTTCACTTGCCTTCAGATGCTACTGAAACACTCAGAAGAGTTTCTGCACTAACCCACACGCTGTAAAGAAGCTGCCAATCCCACCGTCTTGCCTTATTATCAACATCTTCATAGTTACATTGTTACTGGCACAGCTCCTCATCATCACACGGCCTGATCTGTGTTAACAGAGCACGAATCAGGCTGCTGTCATTTTCACACTATTTGGTCTATTTTACCTCCTATAGCGATACCGTAGTGTCAATTATTCCATTGCACATCACTTGCACTCAAAAAATATGCTTGAAAAAAAAAAAAAATTTTTACAAATTTCACACCATCAGTCGCTCTGCAGAGCGGGGTGTTGAAAGCAGTGACTCCGGCAGTGGGTGTGAAGTTTTCTAACCGACCGGGGAATTAATGAATGTGACAGATCCCACTGTCAAGCCATCCCACCCACACAGGGAGCGATTAGTAATTAAGGGATAAAAAAAAAACAGTTCTGCCGTGTTTGTCCTGAAAAGTCTTTGCTTTGAATCTCACAGTGCCTGATATTTAGTGGACTTTGAGCAAGGATTATGGCTTCATCTTTAACCCACTGTCAGGAGTCAGGCAGCCTGGTCCACGGAGTCCCTGAAGGCAGCTCACTGATGCTGTTACTGAACCCATTTGTTTGGGTTCACTTCTTAAATGGCAGGTCACTCGTGAGTCAAAGGGTGAGAAAAGCCCTCTGTGGTTTAAGCACTTGGCTCATCCTGCTCACACATTAGTCTCCAACCCCTGCAGGCGGTCCATCCTCTGCATGTTGCGCTCGATGGTGGCCTGGCATGTGATTGGTTCGGCGCACTCGGCGAGGAACCAGCCCCTTTCTCCGTCGCGCAGTCGCTCGCCTTCATACCAGCCTGAAAAGGAGAAATTGAAGGATGCATGAAAACTGAAGCAGGTGTTTTGTTACCTTGTGCCATTACTGTCTCTCTCCTTTTGATGCTCAATGCTGTCTGTTCTTTAACATGAAAGTCTGTTGCCATGGTTCCCGGAAGGGAAGTGACCTTTGGCCTCTGTGTGTTTGTGTGGTTTTAAAACCACATCTTCAAACAGGTGTAAGGTCCATTATGTGAGACAGATAGGTGTTGTGGAGAGGGTAGAAAAGTGCATGATGAAAGGACGGCGCTGAAACAGGAAGGTGGAGAAATGAGAGGAATACTAAAGAGGGTGAGAGAAGCTACAGTAAAGGCTACAGAACAAGACCGAGCGGTAAACGTGAGAGATAAAGCCAACCTACCATCCTCTACAGTCTGTGAGACCAACACAACATCAGCCACCTGCAGGGACAACTCATCTGGCTGCTTGGCTGTGTAAGTTCTGATCACCTCCACCTGCATCACATCTGAAACAACACAAACACACATCCATAAATCACTTCAGATAATTAACACCGGCCTTATCTGAATATATCTGAATTTACAAAGTGTTTTTGAAATGAGACTGAGAAAATCTGTTCATCAAATGGCCACAAGGTGGTGCTACAGGCTCAAAGGAGCACACACGGAGCCTTTTAGGTGTAGGCAGCAAACTTACTGGTTCTGTCCTGATTCTTGTTGTTGCTGACATTCTGGCCCAGAGCGCTGATCCATCTGGCACGCTCATTCCTGAAAGCACACATAATAGAACATTATTAAACTGTTCTGGCACTAGATGGAGACTTTTATTGACTTAACAACTCCTTAAGCTTGACAGCCTTATGAGAATTGTTCACGTCCTAAATTGCGGTTGATGGAGTTTATTTTTTTGATTGTGTAATACAGATGTGGCACATGCTATGGTCCAGCTGTTTTTGAGAAATACACAGTCATTAGACATAAGCAGGATGATATCATGCAGATGGGTGTGGTTTTGCAGGATGTAGCAGTGCACTCTTTGCTCTGAGTGCAAGTTCATACTTTATATGATAACCTGCGTACACTTTTGTACGAATGCCAAGCAAAAATGCTGAATTATTTTGGTTTGATGAAAATGTGAAGTTGGACTGCAGGGAAGTCTAGTTGCAGCCAGCAGTGCAATCTCAAGAGTATATTAGTAAATTCACAATCACAAAAAACAAAAATGAATCTCTGTGTGAAGTTACAGTTAGGCGTGAGGTCTTCTGTAGGGTTAATCTCGGGTTTAAAGGAACATTCTACTAGGGATGCGTGCGATTAGTCGTCTTAACACAGAGGCACATCAATTTGACATTGTTCACCCGGAGATACTGTGATCCCGCCCGGTCTACAAGGATAACGCAGCTCATCACGACAATGACCTCACAAGATATGCTTCCACTTGACTTTGTTGAAGGTAAAGGCTTCAGAAGTTAATGGAATATGTTGTATGCTAGATTTTGACTGAGTGTTTTCCCTTTTTTTATACTAGTCGACGATTAAAATTTTCACTTAGTCGACAGAGGAATTAGTCGCCAGGAACATCCCTACACTCTACCCACAAAGCAACCATTTGTGTGTCAGTTAGTCATGCTGTGTTACCTTTAATCCATTAAGAAAACTTCCTTTCTCTCGCATGTCTTTACAGGAAATGGAAACATATGGATTTGTTGATTGATTGGGGACCACGTATAACAGCAGGTCTATATCAAAACACTCTCACACAACTCGTGCAGTATAATCCAAGTCTCACTTATGCTCAGAACTTCCCAAAAACTTTCATTTTTGCTAAAACTTTACAATTAAAAACTGAGTGAAAGTGAAACTTATCAGTGCTCCAATACTGATGTTTTTAGTGAAAATGCATGTTTGGGAAGTGCTTATCATACGACTGGATAAATGAGACTTACTGCAGAAGGTTCAATGAAAGCATACAAGACAAGGTTCTTCACGAATTCAAGGTAGCACAGCATAACTAACTGATTTACAATTAGTGGGTGAAGTGTTCCTTTAAGGAAAACATTAGATTGATGCACAAGTTTTTTGGTTACAGTTTGGCCAGCTTATCCAAAAAGTGTCAAGCCGACCCAACGCAAGCCGACAAGAACGCACATCAGGCACACAACACTGTGTGACACAGGTATATCACCCAGTCGGCGCCTCCCCCGGTGTTTAGGGAGTCCCATAGTCGCCCAGCAAGTTCTACCTTCCCTCCCTCCTCACCGTCTCTTATCAATGAGAGAACAGCAGTGTGTTTTCAGTCACAGAGAACTGAGCAGAAGCACAAGGCTGATTCCCAGGAGGGAACAGGCTTGCTTTTGCTTTCCCTCTCTCCTGTGTGTTTAATGGGAAAAAAAACAGTAGGTGGAGTTGCACAGGTCAGATTCCATGAAACTCTATCTCTCATCTTACCTGTTCTCATCTACTGCTGAGGGAGGGCGAGGATTTAGAAAGACAGAGAGAGGGAGAGATAAAGGGGGGTTCAGGAAATGAACCAGAGGGGGTTTCTGAGGCCCCCCTGTGACTCAGCTCTGTTGCCCTGAATCATGCAGATGGGTACAACATGCACAGACAGTCAGACTGAGAAGAGTATTTGTGTGTGAATGCTCTTCACAAGGGCCTCAAACAAACCTCGAACAGGCAAGTCCCATGAGTCAGACCTCATTATAGTGTTCCCATTGTACACAGGCTGTTTTGATCCCTTTCAGGACGCATAAGC